ATTGACCATTGACTCGGCGTTGACCGTTGACTTCCGGCGTTGACCGTTGACTTCCGACGTTGACTTCCGGCGAAAATTATGGATGATTTTTTTTTATTATGGATGATTTTTTTTTTTCATGTAAATTATGGATGATTTTTTATTATTATTATTATTTTTTTTTTTTGAAATAATGTGACTATTAAATTGAGTCGGTCATTCAATTGATCGGAGCTTGTTAGAAAATATTGGGGTTTAATGGAAAATTCCGTTAAATCTGATTCCAACTTGGTGACAATATTATAATCAATCTTTCCATAATGTCAAAACATTAGTATATTAGTGAAAAAACGAGTGTCACATTTCGTTAAAAATGACACATTAATTAGTATCTAATTTATACATGCCAAGTGTATCATTTTGTTAAAAGTATACATTGAATACATCTAATTTATCGGTTTTGTTGTGGAGCCATCAGATGACTCGGCTTATGGAGTCATTCACAGTTATTCACGAATGATGTATTGACACGTGTCCTACAATAAATACATACTGGGCATGTGTCACTACATCATTTGTGAATAACTATGGATGACTCTACAAGTCGAGCTATCCGATAGCTCCATAAAATTTCTGTTAAACCACACAGCTTTTTTTTGTTTTTTTTTTCCTAACCAATTTTATGGTCCTAAAGGAACTTGCCTCCAAATATTGCATGATAAGTACTAGTAACTACTGAGAGTTTGTAGAATTTTTTTTATTTATTTATTTTATTTATTTTTTATTTATTTTTTTTTATATAGAAGTCTTGGAGCTGAAGGTTGGAAGGTGAAATGAGAGGGCTTCTTCTTCATGCAAAAGCAAAATGTTGACAAGTTTTCTTCCCATCGTTTGGTGAGAAGTTATAACTTAATAAAAAGTTCAATATGAAAGCACCCATCAATTAAATAAATAAAAATTGAACTTCATTGACTAAAAGCCCCTACAACATTACCAATGATAGTGAGAATTTTTGACTAAAAAAAATTATACAATAAATAAGTGGAAAAAAAAGGTGTGGAACAAAATAAAAAGCACGTATTCAAAGAATACGTTTTTTACATAAATTATTTAAAAACTGTATTCCTTGAATACGGCTTAAATAAATTTTCAAACGAAAACGTATTCGTTGAATACGTTTTAGTTAATTATCTTAATTAAGTAAATTAATCAATAGAAAACCGTATTTCCTAAATAAGTTTTAAAATTAATTTTTTTTGAATTTTTTTTAATTACCAAAACGTATTTATAAAATACGTTTTAATTTTTTTTTTTGAAATTTTTAAAACATAAGAACGTATATCATAAATATGTTTACGATTTCGCTTTTTTTTTTTTAATCATGAAAACGTATTTATGAAATACGTTTTAAATTTTTTTCATATTTTAAATTTAATTTAACAGTAAAACGTATTTGTTAAATACATTTTTAAAAGAAAAAAAAAATTAAAAAAATTGTTAAAATCAAATTTTTACTCAAAAATCAAATATACCTGTTCAAGCAACTAATATCAACATATCCACCCAATAATAATCCAACATACACACTATAACGAAACAAATGAAAAAACACAATAATTTGTTAAACAAACAATATATACAAAACGATATAATTCAGTTTGTACATACAATCCAACATTTGAAAATGAACACAAAATCCACGAATTCATCACAACTAACTAATTAGGAGTGTATGTATCCGGAGGCCTGCGCTGTCTGGACCCCCTCCGAGCATATA